TCAGAGCTCCATCGTCTTCACAACCTCGGAGCCGACGACGACCCCTGGGAGCCCACCAGCTCCGTGTCCGCGCCCACGCGCGTCTCATAGGCCCACTGGAAGAAGGTGTCCCAGTTGCCGCCGTCCTTGAAGTACTTCACGAGCGCCTTCACGCTGTCGTCGCCCAGCCTGAGGCCGCTGCTCTCCAGCCTGAGCCTTACGCCCTCAAACTCGTTGCTGTCCATGCTGGTCTTCACGACGTCCGCATACGAACGTGGCACCGGCAGGAACATGGAGTCGCTGTCGTCGTCGACGCCCATCACGACCTCCACGTAGCGCTTGCGACGCCGACGTCCGCCAGGCTTCACGCCGTCCTCCTTGGGCTCGGCTACGCCCAACGGCAGTGGCCGCGGCAGCTCCTTGAACCACGACGTCAGCGCAGAGACGATCTGCCGCCAGTCGCTGACCTTGTGCCAACTCCTTCCTGCCGAAGGCGGCCGCGTTGACCTCGCGCAGGGCCTCCCAGTCGACAATCTTCTCGAAAGACTTGGACTCGACGCCGCTGTAGTCGCCGTCGCCGTCCTCCAAAACTTTCACGAGGTCCTCGAGCTTCTCCTCGCCGCGCTCGTCCTTGACGTCGGGCTGCGGGCGCAAAAAGCCGTCGGCCTCGCCCTTGATGCTGCGAGCTGAGGCTGCCTCCAGCGGATTCGGCCGCTGGTCTTCCCGCCCTCGCTCGTCCACGTAGGTGTGATGACTGCAGGCCGCCATCGCACTCCCGAAGTTGTCCCCCGACTCGATGCTCTCGGGCACCTGCTTGTCGAGGCCCGTCTTGAAGTAGATCTTATCGCCGAACTTGTTGAGGCCGTCTGAAGAGCTCGCCACGTCGAGCCCCTCGAAAAACTCCTCCACGCCCTGCTCGACGAAGTCTTCCAGCACATCGTCCTTCACGATATCGCTCTCCTGCTCCTCCTTGAGTTCGTTGTCTCCAGGGGCCGCCTCCACGCCGCCGACGTGTGCACCATCATCAGCGTCGTGAAACCAGCGCGCCCACTCGTCCGATAACCAGGCCTCCTCGACGTCGCCGGCGTCGAGGTCGAAGGCCATGACCAGCCTCAGCGCCTTCGGCTCCTCTAGCGGAGTCTCCACGGTGCTGTGTCGAGCGCGTTGGACTTTTTGTGCTTTTTCTCCTTCTTCTTCTTCTTCTTCTCCTTGCGAAGCCTTCGGGGGCGCTTCAGCTCCTCCCAGTCGGCCTCGTCGGTCTCCTCGCTGTTGAGGCCCAGAGATGCTGCAGTCGCCCCCGAAAGGGGGACCCCAGCGGAAATCCCCGGCTGCTTCCGCTCCGCGAACACCATGACTTGCGCCTCCTCGCTGTGGCCCGCCAAGCCCTCCGCCAGGCCGATCCCCGTCGCCACCGGCGAGCTGCGGGACGCTGAAGCAGCCGCCTCCGGCGCTGTCGTCCGCATCCAGCGGTTCCTTCGCGCCGCCTCCGGAGCATCCACCGCGTCCTCGATCGCCAGGTGGGCCCGAGGTGGCGTGCCGCTCGGCCGCGGCCTCGCCTTGGGCTGCGGGGACTCCGTGGGGAGCGCCCGCGGGCGCGGCCTCGCCGACGGCACTGGTGCGGCCGCCGCCTCGTGCCACTCGCCTGGAGGCGGCGACAACGGCTGAGGCAGCGCCACCCGGAGGGCCGCCGTGACCGCCGCCGACACCACTGTCGACAAGGCTTCGCTCCGCCATTCCATTGGCTCGGGCGCACGGATGCCCGTTTCAAGTACGCGCGCCCAACCCCGCCTCGAGGGGAAACGGGCTAGGAGGAGGAGGAGGAGGAGGAGGAGGAGGAGGAGGAGGAGGAGGATGAGGAGGAGGAGGAGGAGGAGGAGGAGGAGGAGGAGGAGGAGTGCGTGAGCGTTTTTTTTTTTTTTTTGTGTGTGTTTTTGTTGTTCTTGTGTTTCTTGGTTGTTCTGTTCTTTTTTCTTCTTTTCTCCGGCAGGGTAGCACTCGTTACCTGGGCCAGCTCCCCTCCCCACGGGGTAACGCTCACGATCGTTCTGGGGGGGGTGTCCTGGACCCCCCCCCTGCATGCTGTAGTGCGCACAGGCGACTTTGGTGCGCTGGTGGCGTGGACGCACCCTGGCGGGTGCACGCCGCGGCCGCCGTTGCCGTTGTACCCTCCCGCCAGAATCCCCCCCCCCCCTTGGGTACCGACCCTTTCCCCGGGGAGAAGCGGCCACCATCCGTGCCACCCTTTTGTCTCGATCCTCCTGGGGCGGGGGCATGCGCACGTGGGTGCGGCCAGGGCGCCGGTCGCCGCGATGGGCAGCCTGCTCCTCAGCACGCGGGCCGCGAGCAGGATCGAGGATCGGGGGGTTCGGTCCTCGGATGCTTTTGGGTCTTTCTCTCCCCCCCCCGCTGGGGGGGCCACATCCTTGTTCCTTATTATTATATGCCCCCACCTACCTCGTATTCCGGCCGATGGCAACCCGATGGGGGACTTCCCATCCGGACTGTAAAAAATCAATACAAAGTTGCTGTTTTTCTTCTCAACATCGTCTTTCTTGTCGTCGGCGATGCGAAAAGCGTGGCAGGAATGGGACGCGGCGCACATCGCGCGCGGCAGTCAATCTGGGCCCGCCCATCCTGAGTGTGAAACATCAATGCAAAGTCTTCGTTTTTTCCTCTCAGCATGGCCTGCCTTGTCGCCGACGGTGCGAAATATGTGGCAGCAGTGGGAGGCGGCGCACATATGGGACGCGGCGCACATCGCGCGCGGCCGTCAATCCGGGCCCGCCCATCCTGATTGTAAAAAATCTATACACAGTCTCCGTTTTTTCCTCTCAGCATGGCCTGCCTTGTCGCCGACGGTGCGAATTATGTGGCAGGAATGGCACGCGGCGCACATCGCGCGCGGGCGTCCATGCGGGCTGCGGGCCCTCCCATCCTGATTGTAAAAAAGCAATACAGAGTTGCCGTTTGTCCTTTCATCATAACTTGTCTTGTCGTCGACGATGCGAAATGCGTGGCAGCAGTGGGGCGCGGCGCACATTGCGCGCGGACTTTTGGGGCAACCCCAAGGCGGGAGGGGCCACCTTACTTGTCAGAAACAATGCCATGCTGATTTTCCCTGCCCACATAGCTGTTCTTGTCGTCCGCCCCGCAAAAGTGCATGGCAAGAATTGGGCGCGGCACACCCCCCTCCCCCCCCGCTTGAAGTGAATGAAATGACTTTCTCGCTTGGGCGCCGAACGAATTTTTTTCAAAGTTGCGCTCCCGCTTTGGCTCGGCGCACGTTTTTAGCTCGCCAATTCATTGGGCGCCGGGGCGTTCCAGGAGGCCTTGGGGTGACGAATGCCTGGGAGGTTTTTGCTTGTTCAGGCTCTTGGAGGGCCTCCTGAGGCTCCCCGCGGTTTCTTGGCGCTACGGCCGTCTGGAGGCCATCTTGGGCGTCTTGGAACGATCTTTCGGCGATCAGGGCTATTACTACTACTACTACTACTACTACTACTACTACTACTACTACTACTACTACTACTACTACTACTACTACTACTACTACTACTACTACTACTACTACTACTACTACTACTACTACTACTACTACTACTACTACTACTCTCTACTACTCTCTACTACTACTTACTACTACTACTACTTACTAATACTACTACTACTACTACTACTACTTACTACTACTACTACTACTACTTACTACTACTTTACTACTACTACTACTACTACTACTACTACTACTACTACTAACTACTACTACTACTACTATACTACTACTACAACTACTACTACTACTACCTACTACTACTACTACTACTATACTACTACTACTCTACTTACTACTACTACTACTACTACTACTACTACTACTACCTACTACTGATACTACTACTTACTACTACTACTACTAGTTTAGTAGTACTAGTACTACTAGTAACTACTAGTATACTACTATTACTATACTAATAGTAGTAGTAGTAGTAGTAGTTGTTAGTAGTAGTAGGTTAGTTAGTAGTGTAGTAGTAGTAGTAGTAGTAGTAGTATAGTAGTAGTGTAGTTAGTAGGTAGTAGTAGTTGTTTAGATACTAACCCTACTACTACTACTACTACTACTACTACTACTACTACTACTACTAATACTACTACTACTACTACTACTACTACTACTACTACTACTACTACTACTACTACTACTACTACTACTACTACTACTACTACCAATACGCGCCAACACCCAGTTGCGCCATCATTGTTTCTTATGTTGTGGGAGGCCGGAACGTGTCCGTTGTTCCTTTCAACATGGCCAGTCTTGTCGTCGACGATGCGAAATGCGTGGCACGAATGGGACGCGGCGCACATCCCGCGCGGACGTCAATGCGGTGTCCTGGGGTATCCTCCACTCGCCTTGAAATGCCCGCGCAGCCCCCAGTTGTGCCATCACTGTTTCTTATGTTGTGGGAGGGCGGGTGGGAATGGGCATGCCATGCTTGACTCGCTCGAGCTGGCTAGCTTGATGCGAACCCTACCCTTACCCCCCACGATTTCTGAGGGGGAGGGTGGGGTTCACTCCATTCGGGAGCTCCCGAGCGAAGTGAACCCCACCCTCCCCCTCAGAAATCGTGGGGGGTAGGGGTAGGGTTCGCATGTGGCCCCCTGCCCATGCCTCTGTCGAGGAGCCTCGAACACGGACCAGGGCGCGTGGAGGAGCGACGGGTCCCGCTTCCGTGCGGCCTCGGCGCGTTCCGTCGCCGAGCCGGACGGCAGCGGCCTCGTGTTTTGGGGGGGTGGTGGCTTGCCCGAGCCGTGCCCGCGCGCCAGGTCCACGGCGCCCCAGTCCATGTTGTCGGGTGCTGCCAGAAGGGCCCCTCGCCCACCGTGCCCCCAAGGATTTCCAAGGCCGCCCCCACGGCCTCCAGAGCACCCCACACGAGGCCCATGGGGGCCCCAGGAGGAGGGGGAGGAGGAGGAGGAGGAGGAGGAGGAGGAGGAGGAGGAGGAGGAGGAGGAGGAGGAGGAGGAGGAGGAGGAGGGGTAGGAGGAGGAGGGGGCTCCAGAGTGGAGCGCAAGGCCAGGGGCACCCCTCGCAGCCCCCGATGTCCGCGTGCGCCCGGTTCTGGCGGGCCAGCGACCGCCCGGAGCCGCGAGAGAGCCGTGGGAACCTCTCCTGCCGGGTGCTGGCGGCGCCCTCGTGGGTCGTCTTGGGAAGTCGGAAGCTCGAGCAGGCGACAGCCCGAAGTCAGCGTTGGAGAGCCGAAGGGACACCCACGATTTGTGCCTCTCGAGGCCCTCTTGGGAAGGTTCTGGGGGCTCTCTTGGAACGCCTCGACGGCCTCGTGAGCGTTGCAGAGTGATACCAGCTTTTCGAAGCCAGCTCGAGCAGGGGGCCGATCTCGGCTCCCTCGAGGCTGCAGATCGAAGCTCCCGATGCTTGCGCATTGTTCCGTGCGGTCGAGGGCTCCGATGCTGCCGCATTGTTCCGTGCAGTCGAGGGCTCCTTGGCCGCTCTGTAAGTGTCGAGATCGAGTCCTGATGATTTGACCTCGATATTTAGAGCAGTTGGGAAATACACATGCGCATGCAAACAATAGTACACCATAAACAACATAACACATACACATAGCCATCAACACGTAGACATACACAAACACATACAAAGCAAATCCCAGGATCAAGGCCACCAGCGCGGCCTCGCGCCCTCGACGCTCGCGCGGCGGCCCGCGGTGGCGGTGCCGTGCCGGGCGGGGGTGTGCCCCTCCCCCCTCCACTCCTCCTCCTCCTCCTCCTCCTCCTCCTCATCATCATCATCATCCCCTCCCCCTCCTCCTTTTTCCTCCTCCTCCTCCACTTCCTCCTCCACTTCCTCCTCGCCACGCGCGCATGCATGCACGTGGCATGTCTCGCCGCTGCTCGCGCCCGCGCGGCGCGACGCGCCCTGGCTGGCGTCCCGTGCGCTTCGAGTAGCTGGACGCTGGAAGGATCACCTCCCACCAAACCACCCCAAACCCAACCCGAAGGCCCCGAAGGCCCCGTTCGAGTCTGCGGGTTGGGTTGGGGTGGTCTGGTAGATTGTCAAAAAGTGACTGGGGCCAGCCCTTCCACTCTTTCCGGCCCTGGCCAGTCTTCCTTTGTTCTTTCTGGCCCTGGCGACCGCATCCCTATTCGGGCTTGCTTCGCCCCCATGCCAACGTTTCCAGCCCAGGCCATTCCCAGCTTCACTGAATGTCCAAGTTGACTTTTTCCAGCTTCCCTGTAGGGGATCGTCTACAGAATTCATTTACCCCAGAGTTGATTTTCTCGTCGAGTCATACGTAGAGAAAGTTCGTAGATCTACGAAGACTCAACGCATGTTTGATGGATTCGACGAACGAATCAATCTTTGGGTAAACAAATTCTGTAGACGATCCCCTACTCGAGCCCCCGAGGGCAGCAGCGCGATGACCATCTTGGGACCATGCAGAGGGGAAAATGTCGGGGCTCAAGAGGCGGGGGTCAACGCAAACGGGGGTCGGTCAAAGCGCCAGAGCTTGCAGGATCCTGCAGGCTCGGTAGACGGGGGTCCATGCAAACGGGGGCCAGTCAGAGCGCCAGACCTTGCAGGATCCTGCAGGGCCAGGGCTGCAGTGACCCGGGCTTGGGTGCAGGATCCTGCAGGATCCTGCAGGATCCTGCAACGCCCAACTGACCCAGGTCTGGATTGACCCAGGTCAGTAGATCCCCGAAAATTCGGGGGCGGGGG